AGAGAGAGAGAGAGAGAGAGAGAGAGAGAGAGAGAGAGAGAGAGAGAGAGAGAGAGAGAGAGAGAGAGAGAGAGAGAGAGAGAGAGAGGTCTTGGCGATAGTCTGCTAGAGACGACATCTTCATGTACTTCGGTGCTGCTGCTGACGTCAACAGTTGCATTGTCAATTCTTAGGCTGGAAGTAGCTGTGTTAGTAGTCTGGCGCTGAGCGCCAAGTAGGTGAAGGGGCTTGGATACTCATGTTCGTGATGGCGACAGTGTCCTGGCTTTCAATGTGATTGTGTAATCTGGAAATCTGTCGTTTCGCTATTGCCCAAATTCCTTGCAATTTGGTATTAGAGCTGGTCCGAACTACACTTGCTGGTTCTTCGCAATAGCTGTTCGGTGCTTCGCATGTGATAGTGGGGCAGTGATAATGCTTGGGCGTTGAACGTACGGTGGCTCGGGGTCGAGTGGGCGTGCCAGGAAGGCTATGGGGTGACATTGGGGTGTATGCTGGATGATGAGAACCCGCTGATGTGGCATTTAAGCCGAGGGGAACTGCATTTTGCTGTTTGTTGTGCCAAAGCAAAGACAGGTCATCATAAATGCACGTCAGGTTGCTGGTGAGAAATTTGTGGTTGAGGTAGGTACGTTGCTCTCATCTTTATCTACCCCCTTCATTGCTTCTTACAGTGAGGAAGTGGGTTCTGTCTTGAGAGTCCTCTTGATGTGAGGTGTCGCGAGCGCTCAACCTTGAGAGTCAACATTCTTCCTAGGCAGCAAGCTGGTGGGAGACGGGCGAAGCCTCTGAAGGGCCCTGGACAAAGCACTTGGGTCACGGCCACCATGCCAACCCGCTGGGACTAGTACATGCATGCTTTGCCGCAAGTCCTTGGTTTTGCTTGCTGCGCTAATAGAGGTCATGATGGGCATGCCAGCCTTATAAGAGACGCACACCAGACCGTCTATAAATATTTCTAGCGGGGTCCAGTTGAACCCTGGTTGTGATCGTCATCCTGTCTGCGACGTTAAACAATTCGTGAGGACCTAGGGGGCTGTCCTTAAACGGCCTCTTGATCAGCCAGATCAACCGGAACTAAGGCTCGCTGCATATGAGGATAAATGAGATGCAGGGCTGGCAGGCTTAACATAGACTTGGGGCACAGGGGCGGGCTGGATTGCACACCTTTAGACAAGCTGCTCAACCAGATGCTCAGGACGTCGACATAAGTGACTACTCAAGAGGGATACACTGGGAGGGAAGACTCTGGCAAACTGTTCGCCGCTGAACTAGTTAGATTAATTTTCATCCAACATGCATCTCCACAGGAGACTTATTTTTATTTTTGATCATTTAGTTGTTACGAACTTGATTAACAACTAACAGGCAAATGCAGATAGGATAGAGTATTCCTTGTTGCATTGCATTCTGTTTTAGAATAATCTAAAAATAGAAATAGAGTTACCTTTCAGGATTTGAAATTGGTTGCTGGTTACCACTTGACTACTACTTTCCTTCAGGCTGACCGAAATTAGTTGTTTATTATTACTCAGTTGGGTGTCATGTTGAGGTAGGATTCGGTGTGGGTTCTAGTTTAGATCACACAACATTGTAGCTCATGAGTGAAGAAGGAAGTAGTGAGGAGGAGCAACGATTAGTGGAGGATCTTAGAGTTACCCGTAGAGTTGCACTCAGTCGACCGATTACTTTCCTAAAGTTACGGAGCGGAAAGGAGGCTGCGGTGGGAAGCCAGGGAGAGGACGACATTATAGAGGGATAGGGCAGTTGTGGCAGACCCACCAGGTGTGGTGCTCGGCCTGGGATACAGATGGAGATGGAGGATGAGAGTGGAGCAAGATGGCACAACGCAGCTCCCATGCGAGACTCCAACGCACATATTCCAAACTATGCGAATGATGAATGATCCGAAATACAGACTCTGGCTGAGGTATACCCCAGCGGACTGACTGGACTGGACAGGACTGGCTGGTACCGATAGAGGTACCGGCCTGGACTGGACTACCCCGAATACAACACAGACCTGTGAGAGCACGACAAGGGGCTGGTCTCACAGGCCAACCAGAGGTCCGCTACACGATCCTCGGCCTGTGATGGATCGCCTAGATACAAGCACATTTCCGCCAAGAAGTGGAACTCTACCAAAGAAAAAGAAAACTCGAGTAGTCTAGGATGCGGAGCAAGCTCCATGCTGAGTCCATGCGATGCAACCTAGGATTGAAAATGTCACAAAAACAGCAATGTCACAGCTAACAACAATGTCACAGCTAACAGCCTAAGTGAAAACAAAAGCAACTAACTAGTATACATGTCCTAGGAAAGCAAGAAGTAATGACAACTAAATCCTAGAATGTTGCAGGTAGTAGCCTCAGTCCAGAAGCAACTGACTAGTGTATAAGTCCTAAGAACAACAAAAGCAAAAACAACTAAATCCTAGAATGTTAGAGGCAGTAACCTCAGTCTGAGAGCAACAAAGCAACAATAAGACAACCATATGTCACAGGAGGACTGTGTCAGAACCAAAGGCTGGGATGGTCTCCGAGGGTGGTGAATGCAGCCTAGGGGTCGATAAACTCCTAAGGGCATACACACATAATGACAGGGAGACACATGTCATCAGGCTCAATGAGGGTACGGAACTGGGAGCGAACAGAACTAATGACTCTAACAGATAGACCATCAGGGCGGGTAATGCTCGACCAAAGGGGTGACCGCTATGGAGGGTCGACAATGCAAGGGAATAAGGGAGCCTGGTATACTAGGCGCAACTAGATGAAGCATGCAAGGCTGCCTAACTAGGGCGTGAGGGTCAGCATAGGGTAGAAAAAGTGATGGGTAAGGGAATGATGCAAATGACTCCTAAGGTGGCGGAAGTCGGAGCTGGATCCGTAAGCTGGGAAACCAGGGCAACGTTACGGTCCCGATGCCTATGCGTATACCAAGGGAGAGCCCAACTTAGAGGAACCCGGCGAAGGGAGACCATTATGCGATACAACCAGGGTAGGGAGACCATCATGCGACACAACCAGGGTACTGTACAGGGTAAGGTGGGAAGAGAGTGACGACGTCTGAAGTAGGGAGAGTTGATCGTGACGAAGGCCGTGAAGCTGTCGATGACGTCCATGACGAGAAGTCTGGAATGTTGTCGAGGAAGAGCCACAATGTCGAGATGAAGTGGCAAAACTGGAGTGGATGGAGTACGGAGAAGTCAAAGACGTGGGAAGATAAGTCAGAGTCAATCGTCGTATCGAGCAGGACGACGACGAGTGCGTTGTGGACGCTCAGAAGCATCCGGCTGCTGCTGAAGGTCTGCCTCAGATGGGCCAGGTTCGACTTCAATGGTCTCCTCAGCCGAGGGAGAAGGAAGAGGGTTAGTGCGCTGAGGAGGAGCAGTCAACCCAACACGACGAGCATGGTCATAGGCACGCACCAACATGCGAGCGTGCTGCAAGTGCTCGAGGGGCTCCCAAGTAGCCTCCTCATCAAGGTAACCCTTCCAACGTATGAGATACTCGACGTGAGGAGGGTTGTCGTCGGTGACTCGACGACCAATTATGTATGAAATGAGGAACTCCTCGTGGCCGTCCACCATGATGGGTGGAGGGCGCTCATATGGTCGTCCGACGAAATGCTCAGACGGTCTGCGGTAGGGACGCAGTAACGAGACGTGGTAAACTTCGTGCACACGAGCTTGCCGTAGGTAGTCGGACAACTTCACACGAAAGTTGACCGGGCTAGAAGCCGTATGAGAACTGACGACCTGGAGAATGCGGCATGGGCCAAAGAAGCGACGCAGAAACTTGCGAAGCGTGTCCACTTCGTGCTGTAAGGGGCGGGCGTCGATAAGCACATCATCACCGACTTTGAATGGATGATCCATCCTTGATTGGTTCGCAATGACGGCCATGCGATTCTGGGAAGCGGCTATGAGCTCATACACGGTCTTCATGATCGACGTCATGTGTGCACCCCAATCATCCAGCACGAAACAACTCGTGTCGGGGTGCATCTGTGACGGTCGAAGGAAGTCCGCAGGAACACGAGGGTGATAGACGGTCGCAATAGTAAGGCGACATCCCCGTGGCTGGCGAGACGGTGTGGTTGTAGGCTATCTCCACGTGGGCAAGATGGAGATCCCACTGTTGGTCGCCACGAATTATCTTTCGGATAATTATCTTCGAGAGTCTTGTTCGTGATCTCGGTCTGACCATCAGTCTGGGGATGGTAAGACGAGGAGAAGTGGAGCTAGGTGCACCCCACGGGGAGTTGTTGGGTTTAATGAAACCCAGTCTCAGGAGCTCCTCAAGATGGCGCTTGAGTTCAGTGGCCTCGGGGATCGAGAGTCTGTAGGGTGCCTGGTGGTGAACACGATGGTCAGGCACAAGATGAATGGAGTGCTCGACGTCGCGCATTGGTGGGATGTCGGCGTATGAGAACAATGATGGGAAAACACCATGGTACTCTCGAATGAGGTCACGAACTGCGGACTCCAGGTCGGCCATTGTAGGGCCAAACCCTGGTAGACTTTCGAACCTTGGTCGACCCCACTGCGGGTCCCAGTTGGCTCGACCCGCCCACGCTCATGCTCAGGGCGCGGGCCGTTCGTCCCAAGGTCACCCCCACCTAGTGCTATGAGATGGATGGGGGTGGACCATGGAGCGAGAGGGCTTCGACATTGAGGATGTAGCTCAACTCTCACCCCGGTTGGTAGTCTCGCTGGTTATTCCGCAACGCTGATTTTTTTTTCTTTCTTGATTGTGTTCTCAAGCAATTGCTCCTTCCAGTACGCAGGCAGTCTAGGGGTTCTTTGAGAGTTTTTCTTCTCTTGTGCGCAGGCTAAGCGTCATCCTTAGGCCGCGCACCATTTCCCTAAGTATTGCAATTCTACCGCGTCATCGGGGTGCGGCAGTGCCGTCTTCCCCCTCGCTTTTACGCACTCCTCGAATCTTATGCATTCCATCCATCATTATTGAATCCGGCCCCTTAGTCTTTTCGGGGCCATCATATGCATGCACAAGCTACTTCATAGTCCGCTTAGCAAGGTTGCACTTCTTTCTTTTATTTACACTCCAAGTCACATGCACAAGAGTCACTCCCATCGTTCGAGTTTACACTAAGGGTCCCGTAGCCCCCTTTGCCCCCTCTTCCCTTTTCCTTTGTCGCCCGGTCTCTCCCGGCCCCGTCCCGCTCAAGGCATCCCAACCCTTTACTTACCTGCACAATCCCACACAAAGCAAAGACCGATATAATCCCCCATTGGGGGTCAACACATAGCCCTTCCCGCATGCCTAACTTTCCTTTTTCTTTGGATTTTCTTTGTGCTCAATCAGTCCATTTTCTTCTCGTACTCATGCAGTCGGGGAAATGGTTGAGTCAAACTGACCTTTGCTTTAGGCTACACTTTTTCTCGGACTTTTGCCTCCCCTCAATCTCTCAAGTGTCCTTCCTCTTCCTTCTTGGTGGCACAAGGGACCAGCGGCCCTTCCCTTGCCCTCTTTGTCCACCAAGTGAGGACTGTTTTCTTTCACCGTTCTTTCCCTGGCAAAGTAACAAACGTGTGATGAAGGGTTAGTTATAAGCCAAGTGGGGGAAGGGAGAGAGAGGGCAAAATGAAGATGGAGAGAGAGAGAGAGAGAGAAAGAGAGAGAGGGGGAGAGGGGGAGAGGGGGAGAAGGGGAGAGGGAGAGAGAGAAAAAGAGAGAGAGAGAGAGAGAGAGAGAGGGGGG